AAACTAGCTCAACCCACCAAAAACATAACTGTAAAAAACAGACCAGAAATAAAAGTTAAAATAAGCAAAAAAAAAAAAAATAGTAAGAGAACACCTGTCTGATCTTGAAAACAAATCACTGGGGCCTGATGGATTACATCCAGAGTTTTAAAGGAGCTGGCAGAGGTCATCTCAGAACCACTGCACCATATCTTTCAAAAATCCTGGAGCACCAGGGAACTACCAGAGGACTGGAAAAGAGCTGATGTGGTTTCCATCTTCAAAAAAGGAAAAAAAACAGACCCAGGAAACTATAGACCAATCAGCCTAACATCAATACCTGGAAAGATACTGGAAAAGATAATAAAAAAATAGATCTGCCAACATCTAGAAACAAGTAAAGTAATAACTAGCAGTCAGCACGGGTTTATTAAGAAGAGATCATGCCAAACCAATCTTATTTCATTCTTCAACACAATGACTAAATTAGTAGACCAGCAAAATACTGTGGACATAATATATTTAGATTTCAGCAAAGCATTTGACAAAGTAGACCACAACCTACTTCTTAGTAAGCTAGAAAAAAGTGGAATAGATAGCACCACCACTAGATAGGTTTGCAACTGGCTGGCAAACCGTACTCAACGAGTAGTCCTTAATGGGTCTAAGTCTACATGGAGGGAAGTAAGCAGTGGGGTGCCACAAGCTTCTGTCTTAGGTCCAGTACTCTTCAATATCTTCATTAACGACTTAGATGAGGGAATAGAAGGGCAACTTACCAAATTTGCAGATGATACTAAGCTGGCAGGAATAACTAACACCCAAGAAAATAGGCTCAAGATCCAGATGGATCTTGACAGACTAGAACACTGGGCCATATCTAGTAAAATGAAATTCAATGTAGAGAAAAGTAAAGTCCTACGCTTAGGCAAGAAAAACCAAAAGTACACTTATAGACTAGGTGAAACCAGGTTCAATAGCAGTAACTGTGAGAGGGATCTTGGAGTCTTAGTGGACAACCAGCTAAATATGAGCCAGCAGCGTGCAGCAGCAGCCAAAAAAGCTAATGCAATCCTAAATTGTATTAACAGAGGGATACAATCAAGATCACGGGAAGTACTAATACCACTCTATAAAGCCTTAGTAAGACCACACCTAGAGTACTGCATCCAGTTTTGGTCACTACATTATAAAAAAGATTTTGAGACTCTGGAAAAAGTACAGAGAAGAGCAACCAGGATGACATACATACAATGAACGGTTGCAGGAACTGGGCTTGGCTAGTCTAGTAAACAGAAGGACCAGGGGAGACATGATAGAGGTCTTCCAATATTTGAGGGGCTGCCACAAGGAGGAAGGGGTCAAGCTATTTACTAAAGCGCCTGTAGGCCAGACAAGGAATAATGGATGGAAACTGAACAAGGAGAGATTTAACCTGGAAATAAGGAGAAACTGTCTGACAGTGAGAACAATCAACCAATGGAACAGCTTGCCCTCGGAAGTTGTGAGAGCACCATCAGTTGAGACTTTCAAGAAGAGATTGGATGCCATTTGTCAGAAATGGTGTAGGGTCGCCCGCTTGGGCAGGGAGTTGGACTAGATGATCTACAAGATCCCTTCCAACTCTGATTATCTGTTATCTGTTAAAAATAAATTTTAAAAGGGCAGATAATACTTTGCTTACTCTGTTATCTATTATCTGTTCTCCAACCAAGTTTGCTATTTTTTTCAGTTCTCCTCTCTACGTGAAAATACATTATAAATAGCTCCCACTTTATCAATCAGCTAGTTACAAATGTTGTAAAAGGGGCATTTTTTTCCTGCAACGCCTCAAGAAAGTGGAGCTATTAAATCCCACATGATCTTCTAGTCCATTCCCTCCAACAGTTCTCCTATCTCTTCCACCCCATTTGTCAAAATATCTTCTTTTAATCTTAAAGTAAAATGGTAAAAGACAGTAAAACTAGACAGCTTGATGTTAAAATAAAACAGGAACCTCAAGCAGTTTTATAAACTATCTGTCAAACTGATGTAGTTCATTTGGTTGCTACAAGGAAAGAAACGGAGAGAAGGAAGAACTATGCAGAATGTCTGAAACAACTTGAAGGAAAGATAGCATAAAATCATATTGGGTGTTTTATAAACAGACAATAAACTATTGCTATTCGATCTCACTTTTGAGCTTCCCTTTGTGCAGAAAGAATCATAAACTAAAAGGAGATAAGCTGAATATAAGGCAGAACCCCAAACACAAACGTTAAATTTTCCAAAACACTACAGTTTTCACACTATTAAACAGATATGAAAAATGCAAATAGGGGTGCTTAGATTCACAACTAGAGTGTTCAGATTGCCATGTCAAACCTATTCTTTGTGTGTAGAATAAGAATGGTGGGAGGTAAAGTATGTATTACTGTAGGCAAAAATTCCTTTAAAAATAAACATTACCTGTTTTAAGAAGAGGCACTGCATGTTCCAAAATGGCTACACAGAACTGAGGAAGACTAAATTGTTGAAACTGTAGCTCCAAAGTGTCTACATTTTCCAGTTCTGGCAGGTCAACATGACCCATATCCAAAGGTGATGGATTAGATATTCCAGAAGTTACATTACCACGAGCACTGCTTCCACTATGAAAACAAAACAAACAAAACAATGATATATAAAAAAGGCACTATGTTTCTACAACCAGCATTATATTATAAAAATAACCAATACTCAGGCTGAATGGGAAAACTGGCCTAAACAAAATTCTTCTATTCAAACTCTAATTGATGGATCTAATGTAATTCCACCTGAGTTCCTTTCCCTGGGGATAAAACAAATCTTTGTCAACAAGACCTTTACTATCAAGCCTCCTAAAAATCAGATATATCAAATAGAATTGAAAACAGAGCTTAACAAGTCAAAGAAAATGGAGAGGTTAAAACTGAGCGCCACTGAAGGCAAGTAAGAATCAAAAGCCTTCTTGCTGCTGCATACAATTATTTTAGTATTGGAGCTAATTTACGATCTCTGGCAAGATAATTTCATATTTAAGATGCTACCACAGGACAATCTTCCCATCAACTAACCTTTTTTGGGTGTTGGGACTATAAAGCTTCTTAAGATAACTGCAACTTCGAAGACTTTTACATTTCCCCAATCCAATGAGGACTTCATAGCCAATATCAACCCACTTATTGGGCACATATCTATTTATCTACATTTTCCACCACTAAACTTTTATATAACTCATCCTACATTTTGCTCCAATGTATGCCCAAGTTGTGTATAGTACCTATGTGGTCAAGGATGGAAACTCACTGCGTGCTTGTAATGCAATGATAAAAATTTCTGGAAAAGGGTATAATTGCATACGAGAGAAAACCTTTTATGAAATATTAATGAAATAGAAGTATATTAAGTGCAATTTTTGATTATTTTCTGGAATAGCAACACTGAAATACTTATATTAAAGAAAATAATACCATTCCAAATAATCTTATCTTACAATCTGGTTGATAACTGGAACCAGAGGCTTAGTCTTCTAAGTATTCTGGTGAGAGAAGTTTCCTGAGGGTGGACTCTAATACAAGTTCCAAAAGCTCAGAAGACTGAACCTCTGGTCCTGGTGACCAACCCAGATTGGATCCTACAACATTATCCTGGGAGATGTATATTCACCTTCATTCGTGGATCCTAGCTTAATCCAATGACAGCGGAAGGCAGTTTTATTACTACAGATTATTATTACTATTATTATTATTATTGGTGTGTTCTGTTTCACTTTGTTGTTCAACTATTTACTGAGTTGTTCAACCAATATAACTGATACAAATAAGAAAAAGAAAAAAGTTTATATTTATAGCTTATATATCATTTCATTTAAACTATTACTGAAGGACCTAAAAATCAATAACTAAATAATGCAAACCTGGAGAATGAGGAGGAAGAGGAAGAGGAGGAGGAAGAGGGGGAACATGTTTCTTTTGTAACAATCATAACATTCCCAGCTGTCTTCTTACTTGGAAGATTCTGCATCCCAATCCTGACCATCACCCCTTGGACGCTGGCCTATACGTCCTATTACAGAAGGTCGAGGGCTGCTGCTTCCAGGAGATGGATTCTGCGAATGAGGTAATCTTCGGGCATCTTGGCAATATGACATCGATGAATTCTGGGAAACGGTACCTTTCATAACACAAATAGATACGTAGATCTGTCATATCACTAACACACACCTTTACTTAAAAGGAAAAATCTATTTCTTGCTGCATATAATAAGAAAAAAAATTTAGTGGAAGCCATGATCCCTGCCTTTGGGCTGTACTCAAAAGCACAGAAGATTTTGGTGTTTCAGCTATTTGAAATTCAGCTAGAAAAATTCCTTTCCCTTTTGCTAGAACTATAAAATGCAGCAAAAAAAAAAAAGGGGAGGGGGGGTTGAACAAATATGTAAAAGAAAAAAAATGAGTGTAAAATAGGGCAGGATTAATGCATATCCAAGCGGGGCCCCAGCTGATAAAACACAACGAGAAATCGCTGATGCGATCTATGGCATTAGCAATACCTATAGACTGTTCCTATGTGTATAGAATAGCTTACAGATAGTCTTTGACTTACAACAGTTCATCAAAGGTTACAACAAGTGATGTATGAGGGCTGCAGCATCCTCATGGTCATTCGATCAAAATTCAGATGCTTGGCAACTGACTCATATTTATGACAGCTGTAATATTCCAGGGTCATACATACGATCCTCTTTTGCAATCTTCTGACAAGCAAAGTCAATGGGGAAAGCTGAATTTACTTAATGACCCTTACTTAACAACTGCAGTGATTCACTTAACAAATGTGGCAAGAAAGGTCGTAAAATGTGGCAAAACTAACTTAGCAACTGTCTCAACTATGGTTGTAAGTCGAGGACTACCTGTACAGCCAACATATCCGGAATCATTTGTCACTCTGTCATAAATGAGGGAAATCCTGAAAAATGCTAAAATAAAGACAGATCCAGGTTCTACCATCCTATGGTATCCTGAAGATAAATAATATTTAGAATTCCAATATTAACTCCTTGAAACGATTACTTTCCAACACTGCTATTTTCATTTCACTATTTTAACTGTTACAACCCATTGTTACATTTTCTTATTAACATTTTTAGATAGAAAAGATTCCTTAACTACAGGAAGTAAATTGAGTTTGAATCCTGACACTCTTCTCCACTACTTTTTTTTATTTTTACCTCCCATATTAAAAGCCATCTGAGCAATACACTTTAAGTAAATATATCTTACTTAAAACAGGGTGGGGGAGAGAAATCATTAAGTTAATGGCAAATAAAACAGACTCAGATTATCCTAATGAGCTATATGCAAACCTGTGTCACTTGAGACAAAACTTGGATCTCTATGGAAGTTCAGTCTGTTCCTTAAGAAAACACATAGTTGCTCTAGGCATAAGACAGCCTGCAATGCCAAATGGTGTTGTCCATCTTTTGCAAGGCCTAGGGTTGTTAGACTCAGAAGATTCTAAAATAAACGCAAGTACATTTTGTTGACTTGAGCAAAATACTTTTAAAATATGCATGTCTGCCTGGTTAATATTTTCAATGTCATTGTACACACGTTGTGCATTGATAACAAATGTTTGATTTGATTTGAATATATTCAATGTGCCCTAAATATGTATGCTAATGCTTCTTTCCTAAATATTCCTTGCCAAAAGGTTGCAAATCAGAGACCATGGAATTTTTGCTGTGTAATCATTCAGGACTTTTACAGTTGTATTTTTCGATAGATAATTTCAATATGAAACATTTGCATTTTGGTCTTCGTCCATGATAAAGGACTGACTATAAAGCATTTAGTCTTCTGAAACCATATTCCAGGAGAATGATTTTTATTTTGTTCAGGAAGTAAACTCTTGTAAACACCCTTAGGAATTGCAATTTTCTATGTGAGTATAAACATCTATCCCTGACATTTTATATAAATACACTAAATTATAGACTATACATTAAATGGAGTCACATCCATATAATCAAAGTAATTCTTATTTTAGATGAATCTCAGGCATGTATCAGGCAAATATTGCCTTTCTTTCCCATATTACTTATATGATCAAATGTCAGATTTATCAGGCATAATAAGCCACCACTTCCCATTTCCAATTCAAAGACTTAAGATGGTTTAGAGATGTATGGAAAGCATTCAAGGATGCTGTTGAGATTTTTTTTTTTTTTGGCAACTACAGAGTACCAAAATACATTCAGTTGGTTGACAAATTTCTTACAGCATTCAAGACCATGAAATGCAACATGTCACTGAAGATTCGTTTTCTGCATTCACATGTGGACTTCTTTCCTGAATATCTAGGTGCAGTTAGTGGTGAACATGAAATTTTCACCAGGATACTGCCACAATAGAAAACTGGGCAACTGGAATCCATCAATGCTGGCTGACTACTGTTGGGCACTGATGGTGATTTTGCAAATGCAAAATCCTTCTCATAGGGAAATCTAAGATCTACCTCTGTACTTAATAAGAGTGAAATGTTCACTTCTGAATATATTGGCTTCAGTGTAGAAAAATATCTTGCTCTTATAATGTATTTCAAACAAGTGATCCTGACAACTTCAAGGTTTCCAAATATTACTTTTACCCAAAGCAACCAATGAAATATTTTAATTAAATGAAAGCATTCTAACCTGAACAATCTTTGGCCTCTGTAAAAAGATCTCGGCAGGAAAGTCTTGCATGATAACATCTCGCAGAAGCTCACAAGTATTCCAAATTAACTTGGAGTTTTTGCTTCTCAGTGAACTGAAAAATACATGTAAATGACGATGCTTGGCATTTTCCAAACTTATTGAAATCTTTCTCATTCATTCAGTTTTGGATTCGATAGTAAACCAACAACATAAATAGTTTAGCTCAGCATCGTTTAAATGTTGAGACATACAACACAGTTTGAGAATGAGTTTTTTCTCAGTATCCCATGGAGCATCCAGCAAGCCTCTTTATCACATGGTATCTCTGCCTTTTTCTACTCATGCATTTTTCTAGAAATGACTCTGGGATGTTATGCAGAGAGGGTAAAACCCCTGCACTGACTTGCATAATTACTAGCATTGTTTATTCTGCTGTGGTTTTTCATATAGTTCTTATCCAATACAAAGTTATCAACTTTCTAGCTGCTGGGAGCCTTCAAATGTTTCCTTGTTTCTTCTTCCTAACAAGCTTCCTATATAGTGTAACTTAACACTCCTCAGTGATCTGTGAGAACTAATTTCCATGTCTTGAGGCTCTCCAGTATTGTTCGCATAAACAATATATACTGTGTATGCTGTTATAGGCTGTAGCTAACATTTCAATATAAGTAGCTGCTACTGAGCAGAATTCAGGCAAATCTAGGACCTTTTTAAGCCCCGTTTATTTCAGTATACCATAGCCTTTTAAATGCAAGTAACTGTAAGGTTAATCAATAGGAATTTACCATTAAGGAGATTAATGTTTTGCCACTGAAATCAACCCAAGTTGGGAAAATTAGCTTCTGCAAGAGCATCAATTAGAAAGCCAAAATTGGAACGAATACAAAACCAATTATGGTGTGAACTTTTGTCCAATTAAGGGGAGGGGGAGCTATAAGTTTATTTTACCATAGCTTTGCTAAAGTTACACTCTTTCAAAATCATTTGTAAGCTGAAGCAAAATACACTTAATATTCTGAGATAAATTATAGCACTAATATATTACCTTTCACTTGATGAAAGAACATGTCTATCTGTGGTGGTCAGGGATAACCAAGGAAATGTAGAAAACTTCAGACATTTCACTACATGTTGCACTGGAAGAAAAAAAAACCCACAAAGAATTCTGCATGTGTAAATTCTCAAGAGCTTTACAGGAATAGACAGTGTTTACACAACAGTGTCTATATCACCCTACTTACCTTTTAAAAATAATAATAATCATCTAGTACTGCTAATGCTGAATTTTAAAATTCTACATTAAAAATCACATTATTTGAAATTGAGTTTGAAGCTAGATTTTAAATATTTATTACTTAATTTGCTACAGAACAGCTTTTTAATACAGAAATGAAGAATACACTGAAAACCTACAAATTGGTGGCTTATGCTATTTGCATAAATTCTGAGAAACTCAACGCAGTATGGCTCAACCTCAGATTATTCTTACTCAAATACCTAACATAGCATGGCTAGATAAAACTTTTTCTTGCATACTAAGGGGAATCCACAAAACAACACATTGGCCTCTTATAGAAATAGCATTTAAGATTTATATAACTCTTCACTGTGTTTTACAGCCCTCTCTAAGATTGCCCCCAACAATCTGGGTCCTCATTTTACCGACCTCAGAAGGTTGGTAAGCTAAGTCAACCTTGAGCCTCTCAGGATTGAATTCTTGGCAGTGGGCAGAGTCAGCCTGAAATAATACTACATTCTAACCACTGCGCCACCATGGCTCTTCCATTTATATATCATTTAGATTAATTCTGCAACTTTCCCCCCCCTTTCTTCTCATAGTTTAACAGACTTTTTGAATTGAACTTTTGGCCTTGAAGCTGGATGGCTGGTGATTGTTGACATACTGTATATGACAGCTCAACCCTCATACTTCATAGTTCAATATTTATTTGTTTATTCAGAAGCTACCTCAATGTCCACATGATTCAATGCTCTTCTGTTTTCAGCTTTCGAGCCAGGCAAAGTTAGGAAAGAGGCACAGCCGGGATTCCAACAATGCTCTTCATTGTGATAGACTAGAAGAACAGACTCTTCAGGACCTATCTTATGCCAAATAAAATCAATTATTTGGATTTTGTTCTCAGGCTTTTTCCCATTCTTGGGTCCAATTCTTCTCTTAATGATGTAGTCATCTCTGCTCTTTCCCAACATAAGCTTTAGATTTTTTAATTCTTCTCTCTTTGTTCAAAACACCTACCTTTTCATATTCAGTTTACTGCTTTACTGGGTAGCATTCTTTAAACAACATTGTAATATCTCAGCCCTCAGGTTCCCATTTCTTTAATTCTATTCAGATTTTACACTGCTTAGCCAAGTTACACTAGTCTCTCTTTTTTACATAGTTTCATTTTAGCCAAACCTTCCAATTTTTTAAGCAAAGCTTAATTCCAAAAGTATTTAAAAATTTTCATAAAAATGCTACCTGCATCAAAACATTCAACCCACCATTGCATCACAGATCTCATTGCCGTAACAACAGAACACACAAAACCCAAAACAGAGAAAAACTACTGAAGCTCACTATTACCAATAAACTAAAAGAAAATTAAGTAAACTCATCACTCCTTATCATGTTTAAAAGAATCAGTCTGATCGTTAATATCTACTTCTCATCAAAGCAAAAACTCATATATTGATTCTTTTATATGCTGAGAATGCAGGATTACTTCTTATCTCTCCAATGGAGTTGAGAAGCTTAGGGAAGCTTGTTCTGTATTGCTCAGAATAAGGACTGCAAATTAATTAATATAAAACAAAAACCATGTTCTTTGCTAAAAGAATCTATCTGCTGAACAATGAACGGAGATTTAATATACTCTAGAGGATATACAAGTTGTCTTCAACTTACAACTACAATTGGGACCAGAATTTCTGTCTTCAGTTGTTGCAATTGTAAGTTGAGTCAGAACCAGTTTTATGACAATTTGTATAATGGTTTAAGCTATTCATTTCACCAGTTTTTAACCAAATCACACATTTAGCAAAACTAGCTTCCCCAATGGATGTCTTTTGCTGAAAATATGCAAACAAGTAGAAAATAGATCATGTGACTGCAGGACACTGTGTCCTAACTGAGACCTAGTTGCCAGGCATCCAGTTTCAATCACCTGACCATAAAGTGACTTGATGGTCATGGGGCAAGTACTGCCATAAGTCATCTTTTTAAAGGCCATCATACTTTTGAACTGTCCTTAAATGAATGGTCAAAAGTCAAGGACTGCCTATATTCAGAGTATATGATCAATTGGTCTGAAAGAACACATTAGTCATTCTTAAATTACTTCACATGGTAGAGGTCCATTATTTTGTCTTAGCTTTTAACATATTTCAGGCAGATGACCCAACTACTGCATAGCTCCAAATTATGTACATGTAAAAATGTTAAGGCATTATTAAGCACGGTATATCTAATGTGCCCTAAATGCAGCTTTACAACAAGATGAAAACAAGATAAGACATGATTCAGGTGAGACCCTGAGATTACAGTATTTTAGAAAATTTTGGTTCAAATTACTCTTCTCCCTCTTGTTTTGGCCCCTTTGACAAATGAAATAAACTATTGGTCTAGTTGGTAGCAAAATAGTAGAAGACAAGTTACAAGCTATTACAATTGCCCTTAATTATGTGATGTGATTGGGATTTACTAAAGTTGAGAAAACTTTTAACAAAGTTATCAAATAATAGTTGATAACATCCCAAATACTAGAGTACAGTGTCTGATTTAGACGAGTGCTTCCAGAGAAATCTTTGCTGTAGTTAAGTACCTTATCAATCAAAATTGAGTAACTCATAGTACAGTGTTCACATGTGCACATTTTAATATACTCACTAAACATTATTTATTATCTGTGATTTCTGTGTAGATCAATGATAAATTATTGAGAGAAAATTTTTAAGTATTGCAATTACCTACCAGTTGGCTGTTTGGGTGGCGTTTCTGACTCTTGTGATTGATTTTTCCCTTGATGAAAATATCCAGCATGAGATTCTTTGAGATTTACTTAACAAAACATAAAACAATAGTATATATCAGTATTCCCTCTTTTTTGTGATTGTTTTAGTCCAGATCTCCAGTGTCACTATTTATCAAGAATTTTTTACATTGTCAGATTTGTTTTTCTTCTTAGAATTACACTTACAACCACAACTGGAATGAGAATTTTTGCTGCTGAGCAAGATGGCTGTTAAGTGAATCATACTGAATTTTGCAACAGTTTTTGCCCTGGTAAAGCAAATCACTGTGATTGTTAAGTGAATCACACAGCCGTTAAATGAATCTGGCTTACTTTTCTGTATTTTGAATTCAACAAATGTTCCTGGTTATTTGAATATGACAGGCAGCTGGGAAGGTTGCAAAGAGCAATCCCATAACCCCAGGATGCTGGGGCTGTCGTAAATATATGCTGGTCTCCAAGAGTCCAAATTTTGATCATGTGACTGTGGATATGCTGCAGCAAGGGTGAGGACTGGTTGTAAGTAACTTTCAGTCTCATAACGTTGAAAGGTCTCTAAACAAATGGTTAAGTTGAGGACTACCTGTACTTAAAGGATCAACAGTGATGAACACAAACAGCATTAGATTCAGTAAACTTTGCTAATAGCATACTGTGAATAATAAACAAATAAAATAAATAAATAACAGGTGAATGCCAGGGAATTTCTAGAAACCTGGCATTCTGACAAATTAGCCATCAATAGACTATGGAAAAGAGACAATCAACCAGCCCAAAAGAGAAAAAGAGTCCGGCACCTCTCCACCAGTAATCAGCATTCAGATCAGCATAAGATTAACTCCAAGGTTAACTTCAGACCAACAATCAAGTAAGCAATACCCCAATAAAGAAACTGCCAAAGAGCCATCAGTAAACAGCCCAACCAAAGAATCTCTACAACCGCCCCCACCCAAATACGAGGGCAAGACACCAGAATATAAACTGACAGCAAACCCACTCCTTACTAGCATTGATGATGTTACCTAGTTAGGGTAATGAAACGTCTGCAAGAAAACAAGCAAGCTCAGAGCACACCAAGGACCCCTAATAAATAAATTACCTGGATTAGCTTCTGGTTCAGCCTGAGAGGGCTTTGTGTGATAATCCAAGATAACGTCTGAAGGTAACACAAACAGCCCATCAAGAATGCTATCAATCACTGCTTGTAGACTAGAATCCACATTGGGACGAAGCTGAGTGAAGAACTCTACTGCCCCAATTCCAACCAATTGTTCCACAACAGAAGGACGCTAAAATTACAAATGCAATATTGAATTTAAAATTATCAGAAAAGTGACTAATCTCTTCTGAGTTAAACAAGTACTAGGTCTATAATTAAAGAAACTTTTTGAGAAAAAAAGTCAAACAACAACAATAATAAAAACCTGGTTGCAAACATAGAATGCAGGACTTGGTATCATGTTTGGCCTGTGTTTCATGTAGTACTTGTCCCCTTCCTATTATATTTAAATATTATACTTTAATATTTTTCTCTATATTTACACGAATACTGACAAACAAGCACATAGATTTACACTACATATAATAATATGTGTTCTATATAGTACATATCACAGTATAAGTATCATAGTAGCACTTTTTTTCTCCATATAGTACAGAATTTTGAATCTTAGTTGCAGTTGAGTTACTTCAAAGACTTACAAATGAACAAATCTAGATTAGTTTCCAATGTTTTGTTGATTATTCTGAACATGCTGTTTGTCCTCATTTAACAACAACTTGTTCAGCACCATTTTAAGTTACAAGGAGTCTGAATGAGTGTTACTTATGACCAGTTCTTGAAGTTTTGGCTGTCCAAACTGTGTGCTAGGCCATTGGATCACAGTTACCATAGTTACAATGTCCTGAAGTCACATGACTGCCTTTTCGATTTTCCCTGCCGGCTACCCATAAGTAAAGTCAAAAGGGAAGGTCACAAGTTGCTCCAAGTAAGTTACTCACATAATTTCTCACCCAGAAGCAGCTACCCCTCAGCCCTGTTGCGTTCATGCCATGTCTCACAGGTAACCCATGAAAGCTTCCCCTCTCCTCAGCAACCATCCACCTCACACTCAGAAGCACCCACTTTCCTAATAGACAGCCTGCTTGTAAGCAGCCTGAGACTTGATTAACAACTTATGATTCTTACTTAATGATGGCAACAGGGAGTACCGGGACCACAGGTAGTCCTTGACTTACAACAGTTCATTTAGTGACTGTTCAAAGTAACAACGGCACTGAAAAAAAAGTGACTTAGGATCGTTTTTCACATTTAGGGCCATGGTAGGAACCTCATGGTCAGATCAAAGTCCAGATGCTTGGCAACTGACTCGTATTTATGACAGTTGCCGGGACCTGGGTCACGTGATCACCTTTTGCAACCTTAAAACAAACAAAGTCAAATGGAGAAGCCAAATTCACTTAACAACCACGATTCATTCAGCAACTGTGGCAAACAAGGTCGTAAAATGGCGCCAAACTCATTTAACAAACGTCTCGCTTAGCCACAGAAATTGGGGCTCAATTGTGGTCATAAGTCAAGGACTACCTGTATTGTCACTGACCAATACAGTACTGTGATGTTGTACTTTACAACCATATTGCTTGGTGATGTAAATTCCAGACCCAATTACCATTGTTAATCGAGGACTACCTCTATTGTCAAAATTTAAAAATGTACCAAAGTATATATTTTAAGGTTTTTGTTCCAAAAGAATGCTTACATTGAGTAATGCTGTGATTTTTTAATGTAAAGACATTAATGCTTAACTATTTCTATTACTTTTTCAGAAAAAAATGAATACAGACGGCAATACCTTTAACAAGTTGGTCACTAAGTTCAAAACTTCTTCTTTCATTGGTACTACAGGAAAGTTGAACCATTCTAAAAGACTGACAAATAGTAGCTTTTCTTGAACCAAATCGTCATATGTAATCAAATTATGATTTAATTTAGATAAAATATTCTTAAGCGCTCTTTCTCTAATTTCAGACAGCTCGTGACCTGTTTTTTTTTTTAAAAAAAGGGAAAGATTGCAAATGAAAGTTATTTTTTTACATATACACATACACACACATTTTATAAATTCCAACCAATCTGCTGCAGAATAAAAGACCTCTTCACTGAACATTACAGACCATAATTTATCACAGTGCAGGTGACAGGCAGAACTTTTTGACTTCCTAGTCTAGCGCTGAAAGACAGTGATTAGTCCAAAACTACCCAATGAGCTTCTGCAACTATGAAAGGATTAGAGCCTATATCTCTCCATTCTTAATCCAGCAATGTAACTATCGAGCCATATCTACTATATGACATGTGATACCACACTCATACATGGCTGCATATTCACTAACAGGTATTGCTTTGCATAAAATTAGCCAGTGAATTGATTTTGTTGAATCATCACACTGAAAATTTAGGATACTTTCTTAGGGAGGACAAGGCATCTGACTGTTCATCACCTTTCAACCATGGTCTCATATGATCTATTCTTCTAAGCAGTTTTCCCTTCTTTTAATATCAGGAATAATATTCTGTATTGTTAAAAGCTTTGATTACTGTTTTTTGCCACTGCAATTTTTCCGTTTCCCAATAGTTTCAATATTCCTTGAGTTTCTCACTCCATCTCTGTTCATTACATTCTAGCCAATTTTGTGCATTTCTGCTGCAACAATGTTGACACATTACGAATAATGAATAATGGATGGAAACTGAACAAGGAGATTTAACCTGGAAATAAGGAGAAACTTTCTGATGGTGAGAACAATCAACCAATGGAACAGTTTGCCCTCGGAAGTTGTGGGAGTGCCATCAGTTGAGACTTTCAAGAAGAGATTGGACTGCCATTTGTCAGAAATGGTGCAGGGTCTCCTGCTTGGGCGGGGGATTGGACTAGATGACCTACAAGGTCCCTTCCAACTCTGATTATCTGTTATCTGCACTCTTATTAATTTTCCCTATCTTTGGCATTCCCTTTGTATAGAAGATTGTGAAGGACACTTATCTATGTTGCGTGGTCGTTAAGAGTTGGGATGGCACACCGTCACTGATCAATCAATTACGTATAAAAATATATGCGATTTTTAGAAGGGATCGTATTGAGAACTCAAACTCAAAACCAAAAATGGAGAAATAGGAGCGGAATAGGCTACTTTTCTGCGTGCAATCAACTGATACACTCTGGGGTTTGCACATCCTGAGGATACTGGATTGGGAGTTTGTGCGCAGCTAAACTGTGATTCGGGGCTACTTTTTTTTCACCCACAAAGCAAACTCATTATCAACTTTTAGGGATCCAAAAGTAAAAAAAACAAAAACCAACAGTCTCTGAGTAGGCTCACTGGCTATCCGTGCGGACAAACCGACCACTTACGAAGTTTCCGGATAAGCGGAGTCAACTCGATTGGGGGAGACGCCGCATTAACATCGCACACAGCCATCGCGGCCGCCTTCCCAGAGCGGCCCGGGTTCAACCGCCGCGCCGCAGAGAACGCGAATGCGCTCGGAAAAAGCGGGAGGCTGTTTTTCAAGAGGCCGCTGGGAAACGTAGTTCCCTCTCTGGCTCCCCGCCCATCCGTTTTCTGTGTATTCTCAAGCGAGAGGCTCTTTACTGGAGATAGAGTCGCGTGATTGGTAATTCTCGCGAGCTTTGACTCGAGTCTTCCTAGTTGCCTAGATAACAAAGTTTTTCTCCCATCGCGTTTTGGAAGCGCCGCTTTTCCCGCGTCGGCCTCTTTAAGCTGCAAGGAATGCAATGAATCCACCAGGCTTTCAGCCTAGGTCTTCTCAATGGCGAAATCTCTGCCAGAATTGTTTCGGTCAACAGGATTTCATCTAGGCCAGGGTTCTCCAACCTTGCAACTTTGAGCCTGCGGACAATCCTGGGAGCTGAAGTCTACCAGGCTTAAAGTTGCTAAAGTTGAAGACCTCTGGTCTAGGCAAGGGTATGCAATACCTTCTGATCCGTCACTAAACATAAGACTTTGGATCACAAGTAACATTTCATGAAGTTGTTTCTATTTTCCAGACTGACTGGGAATTCTGGGAGTTGTAGTTGCGGCAATCTAGTGTAACGCAATATGGGTGAAACATTTCCAGCACAACCCAATTTCTACTTTCAATTTCTGGTGGTAGCATTTATTCTGGCAGTGAAGTGCTTCCAGTAGTGTTTTTTGTGCATGTCTCTGGCTTTTCAAGTGGCACTGAAGTGTGTTGGAATCAAATGTATGGCTGGAAATACTTCGAAGTGGACATTTGTATGTGTGTGTGTGTATTTTACTCCAATTCGTGGCTGTGATGACTCAACACATTGAACTACAAGCTAATCGACCTTATTTCTAGTCTAGTATATTATATAAATATCATTCATGATGTAAGTTTATCTGCAATTATTTACTTTTCACCTGTCAAAGTGATAATTTCGAAGGGGTTTATATAAACTATCTATCTATCTATCTATCTATCTATCTATCTATCTATCTATCTATCTATCTATCAATCATCACAAAATCTCAAGAACCGTAAGGCCTAAAACTTGAAATTTGGCATGTATGTTCCTCTTAGCTTCTAGGTGCTCACTAAGAAAGGATTGTTCAAAATGACCATCAGAGCATTAGTATTTTGTCTATTATTATTAACATGCTCTGATGCTTAAGGAGTTCTACTCCCCCTCCCCACCTGAAAAGAAATCTGTTCCAAATGCAAAACACAAGCAGAGGAGAGGAGCTTCAGTTTCAGTTTCACAGCACCAAGCAGCTTTGGTACAGAACAGTTGAGCTTAGCCACGCCTAGGCTCATTGCTGTCTCCTTGCTCAGAGCAAATATTGTTTCAGGTTCCAAACAGCCCTCAACTATCTCACACACTGACAGGATGCTAGCCAATTGAATACTGATGGATGCTGGTAGGCATCCCCCTTATTTTTTCCCCCTTATTTTCCTCCCCCAAAACTAAGCCCGAGCAAATAGTTTCGTAGTGAAGCATGGATATCAAGCTAGTTGTAAATAAAAATGTAACAAATCTGATGAAACATTAATATACTTCTTAGGATCTGTTCCACAGAAGCATTAGAATTAAAGGCCCACTTGAAGAAAGAAGTCAGCTGAACAATCTTGGATGGTGATTTTTTTTTTCTGCCTTTGTCTCTAAATGTATGTACCTTAGCCAGAAAACTGGATTAACTGACTACATGAGTCATCTAAGTGCAAACTTGAAGATTAGACAGCAGTCTTGTAAAGAGAGACTAAGGGAGTTGAAATTAGCACTGTTAAAAATACAACAGAAAGGGGAATGCGATAGTTCTTCAGAATCAGAAGCATCCCACAATAAATAATGCTGGCACATGAAATAATGGTTTTAAGTTACAGGGAAGATTTGGGTTGAATATCAGGAACAGCTTTCCAACAGAAAAATAATAATAGAAGAATCAGTTACAAACATATCAGGAGGAAATGAAATTAGAGATCCCTGCAGGCTGTCCTCAACATACAACTAAAATTGAGCCCAAAATTTCTGTTGCTAAGCAAAACATTTGTGAAGTGAGTTTTGTCCCTTTAACAACCTTCCTTGCCACAGTTGTTAAGTTACAGTTGTTAAGTTAATAAAACGGTTGCTAAGTGAATCTGTCCCCATTGACTTTGTTTATCAGAAGGTTGCGAAAGGTAGTCACATGATCCCAGGACATTGCAGCTATTATAAATATGAGTCAGTTGCCAGACGTCTGAATTTTGATCAAATGAGCATGAGCATGTTGCAATGGTCATATATATGAAAAATGGTTTTAAGTCACTTTTTTCAGTGCTATTATAACTTCAAATGGTCATTAAATGAACTTTTGTAAGTTGAAGAATATCTGTATTAGTGGAATCTGTGGATAAAACGTTTCTGTTTCCTTTAGATAATGTAAAGTTTAGAAAATGGGAAATATGTTATTCATTTGCGCCTCATATGTTCATGATTTGAAATTTGAATCCTCCCAGAAGCAGCTGTTTTAAGTTCACAGGAAGTTGATTATGAAATAAAACAACAAAATGACCTGGAATCTCATATGCAATTATATTTCCCACATTTTAATAATTTCATAAATTTCTGAAGTAAGAAAAGGCCTATTTTATTGGGTGACTTCTGACTCTCATAGGCACAACCAGGTTCCCCGCCCCCTAAATATAATAGTAAAAATTGTCACATTAGTGATGAATAGCTTTTAAATTTTGTGTTATTTGTATTAGAGAATGAATACAAGAGAGATATTTTAATGAGAGTATTTGGTCAGTACAAGTGTAACTCTCATAATTTCCAACTTCCATGGCTGGGATTATGAGAATTATAATCTAGCACAGTGGTCGCCAACCAGTGGGCCGGGAACCACTGGTGGTCTGTGAGAAAATTTTGGTGGTCTGCAGGAAAAAAGTCCCCCCCAAAACACTCCCCCCAAAGCAATTAATCCAGGCTGCATGGGAACACAAGGCTGCACCACCCACATGGCTCGACCATCCTCTGGCCCCCACTCTCCAGCCAAGCACAAATCTTACCTTGAATAGAGCCACGCGAGCTGGAACTGGAAGGTAAGACCAACGGTGGGGGAGGGAAATCCGCCCTGGGGTGGCTTGCTGACATTGGTGGGATAGTTGGTCCCATATTCCAGAGCTGCAGTAATCACGGGACTGGCACTTTGGTCATCCCGGAGCAACTCCTCCAGTCCATGGCAGGCCGGTGCACCCGGGTGGAGGAGCAGCTGCTCCAGGATGACCAAAGGGCCAGTTCTGTGACTACTGCACCTCTGCAATATGGGATTGACCTTCCCACCAATGTCAGCAAGCGACTGTCAGTCAAAATTCATATTAATGGTCTGCAGGATTTAAAATTGAGTTTGTTGGTCCCTGAGGTCCAAAAGGTTGGCGACCCCTGATCTAGCATATCTGGTGGATATCAAGCTTGGTGTTGCTTCCTTAAATGTTTTCTTTTCTAGAAATTGCCAGGATTCCAAGCATTATCTAGTTCTTAATATTCAAGATGTTGAATTATAAAATGTTTATTTGAACAGCAAACTGTCATTTACCAATTGAACTCAAATTAATTTTGAAATTGGGTTTCAAAAGCAATTTGTTATGTAGTGGGTGATATAATCAGAGGGAAACAGTTTCTAGTTAAATAATACAAATACACCATTAGAATAACTCTTTGGATTGTTTAAAATAAATAACGTTTTAGAAACCATAGTAAATTTTTGAATAAAAATAAAATACTGTTATGGTAATAACATCATTTCATATCTCTAAATCACTGAATTTTGTCTAATATTTTGTCTAATCATTTATGTATCCAGAAAATAGTTAATTCCTAACAGACAGAAAGCAATAGGTGAAGCTAGGCAGAATCACATTTGATACCTTTACAATTAGCACGGCCCCCCCAAGGCTGTGTGCTTTCTCCACATTTCCCTATATACCAATGACTGTATCTCAAATGATCCATCTGTTAAAATACTGAAGTTTGCAGATGACACAATAGTGATGTTTCAACTCCTTCCCTCAAAACGACGCTATAGAGCACTGTACACCAGAACAATTAGACACAAGAACAGTTTTTCCCCGAACACCATCACTGCTAAGCAAATAATTCCCTCAATACTGTCCAACTATTTACAAAGTCTGCACTACTATTAATCTTCTCATCGCTTCTTATCACCCATCCCCTCCCACTTGTGACTGTATGACTGTAACTTTGTCGCTTGTATCCTTACAATTTATATTGACTGTTTCTTAGCATGATTTGATTGCTTATTGTACCCTATGACTGTTATTAAGTGTTGTACCTTATGATTCTTGATGCTTGATGAATGTATCTTTTGTGTATACCCAGAGCATTTGCACCAAGACAAATTCCTTGTGTGTCTGCCAATAAAAGAATTCTAATTCTAATATCATGAATCTGAGTAGGAGTAGTGTTGACCTAAAGAGGAAATACTGAACTTACATTGATACATTTAATTATAACGTTAGAGTATCTTACTCGTGGACTGGATAAGATAAAAGCAATGTGATGCAAATAAAGGGGATGATTGAGTTTGTTAGGATATGATTATTCAGTGAGACAGGGCCTGGATCAAAAACAGCCAGACTTCTGTACAACCTATCAAAGGGCATTTGTCCCACTAGATAGAAATTTCATAAATTGCCCCGAAAATGTAATTTTGTACTTATGTATGAATTAAGATTATTGTTTTGCTAGAAACATTATTGTCAGATGAGACTGAATGTTCCGTGTTTTAAGAGCAATGCTGTTTGTTATCAGCTGCCAGTCAGATGATGATTCAGCAGATCCAGGACATAAGACCAGATCTAGCAGAGAGCCATAAGGCAACTGAAGTCTTGTGATTTCATTCTTAATTGCCTTGAACAGTTGGATTTAATTGCCCTTTTATCATTTGCAAGTTATGAATGG